GACTGGATGGGGCTGCTTTTGGCCAGGTAAGTCTGGGTATTGGAAGTCAGGCAGTCGATGTTCTTTGCGATCTTTTTCCTTTATACGCTTGACCCTAGAAGGTGGGTTGATATTGTGTTGCATTGGGCTAGGGGGTTGCCTTTCTGACATAGCTTGTGTGACAATGTGGACTGACTGGTCATCGTAAAGATCCTGAAGAATTGTTTTATCGCATTCTAAGTCGATGACCAGCTGCGTTAAGCGTTTGATTTCTTGATCCTTCTGCTCCATGGACTTCTTCATTTCGATATTCACGTTGGGTGGGCTGGACTGGTTAAACAATTTATGTTCAAGATCAGCTATGACTCTTGCCCTTAACTCCCATGAAAATTGAAGGTGTTTGTACTTTGCTTCCCATTGCCTTATGACGCCCCAAGCCTTCCGATTTTCTTGGATAAGGACATCAATGATATCAGGTTGGTTTGTGTCTGGTATTACAATAGCTCTGTCATAATGTTGGCTGCTAAATGGAATGTGAATGTCCTCATCACTGTCCTTCAGGTCTACCCCATCCCCAGAAAAGTGGGAGCTGCTGCCACTGTGTTTAGTTCGTAGGTGGACACCCCCCACCTATAGGTTTTAATGAAGCTCTGATTTCTTATGATTCAAAAAACTATGTACTAATAAGTCTCATTGTCCACACCATTCAGAACTAGTAACACTACCAACAATTTCTTCATAGTATATATGCGCCCGCATGATGTAACATACTGCAGGTCCGCAGTCCACTCTGTAAATGTGAAATGGTTTTGATTAGCAGTTGACAGGAATATTTGCATAATGGTTGTGGAGGATTTGAAAAAAAATTTAGTGAGGCTTACGAGTCGTCGCCTTGTTGAGGACAGACATCAACACTTTTGGTTGGTTGTGCTGGATTTTGGCCTGCTAACTTAGTGTGTAGCGGTGATGACTCGCCAATAACGGTCACAACATGCTCAATGTAGTTCCTCTGTGTATGGAATTTCACATTAGGCACTTACAAACATATGTGTGTGTACAGTCATTTAATGCACGAGAACAAGTCATGTTTGTGTTGAAAAATAGCCACTTACAATTTCCTGTGCTTGGTCGATATGCGGGTCATGTATGCCTGTTCTTGGGCGCAACGAGTTGTAATGCTTCCACAAATTTTCTTTAGCATCATACACAACTATCGTCCAGTGGTACTCATGATGCAATGGGAATAGTAGGTATCTCTCTCCTTGGTAGTTTTTGACATGTGCGTCAATGTGTTTACTCCTTTTGCGAGGATGGTATTCTCGTATCACTTTCTGTACACATTTGACAAATAATTAATGGACTTTGCAGTTTCACAGTCACATTACAAGTAATGGAATGATAGATTTTACCAAACACATGCTCGTGAAGATCAATGAGGCTTCATCTGAAGTTGGGTTGGCCACCTCTTGTTGTTCATGCAACAGTTCAGCATATGCATCTATGAGTTGCACAAACATGAGGTCATATTATATAGATTTTGTGGATGTGAGTGTGTGTGTGTCTGTGTGTGCATATGCATGAAGAGTGAATTATATTTGTAATGGCATACATTGCTGTGTATTGATTCCTCCTTGATAAGGTTGACAATGTCATCAAAATACACATGTGTAGCCTTCGAATCTCCTTTCCACACCAGCAGCCTGTGCATTATTAACAAACCAATGTAAATATTCACATTGCATATATCTCAACAACCCAAAAAAACTGAACACAGTGAGGAATATAGACTATTACGGAATATGAATGTTAACATTGTATGTTTGCACAGTCACTTCCTCATCGCCTCCATTTTTTTGTAAAGCTTAGACCTTTTGTTTGTCATGTTTGGACATCTTGGCCCAGACTTTGAACTACTTGGTAAAGGATAATTTTTTTGGCTGCTTCGCTGGTGGGTGTTCCTCCACATCTTCAACCATTTCGACTGGATGGGGCTGCTTTTGGCCAGGTAAGTCTGGGTATTGGAAGTCAGGCAGACGATGTTCTTTGCGATCTTTTTCCTTTATACGCTTGACCCTAGAAGGTGGGTTGATATTGTGTTGCATTGGGCTAGGGGGTTGCCTTTCTGACATAGCTTGTGTGACAATGTGGACTGACTGGTCATCGTAAAGATCCTGAAGAATTATTTTATCGCATTCTAAGTCGATGACCAGCTGCGTTAAGCGTTTGATTTCTTGATCCTTCTGCTCCATGGACTTCTTCATTTCGATATTCACGTTGGGCAGGATGGACTGGTTAAACAATTTATTCTCAAGATCAACTATGACTCTTGCCCTCAACTCCCATGAAAATTGAAGGTGTTTGTACTTTGCTTCCCATTGCCTTATGACGCCCCAAGCCTTCCGATTTTCTTGGATAAGCACATCAATGATATCAGGTTGGTTTGTGTCTGGTATTACAATAGCTCTGTCATAATGTTGGCTACTAAATGGAATGTGAATGTCCTCATCACTGTCCTTCAGGTCTACCCCATCCCCAGAAAACTGGGAGTTGTTGCCACTGTGTTGTTCTCCCTTGATGTCAGAAAGGTTGGGAGATGTTATGGCTGGTTCATAAATTTCAGGCTCCACCTTCAATGTTTTACGCTTGAACTTTTGTAATTCTGTTGGGATTGCAAAGAGTTCACCGGCATTAACCTGAAAATGAAAAAATTATGTTAATTAATGCATATATTTGGGTGGTGTTATAATGTGAATGTTTGGATCACTAGTTGAAGGCCCTACCTCATTAAAACCCAAATCAGGAGTACATTCATATTATGTGAAGAACAGTGTTAGTTCTCATTTTAGTTAGTTGTATGCGTCATGAGGATCTGTGTATATGATTTGATTATCAGTATATATGGCAATGTGAATGTTGACATTTTGTTAATGTGGATTATGTGAAGAATGTGGATGTTCTCATTTTAAATTGATGTTTACTTAATGAGGCTCTGTGTGTGTGATATAATTCAGAGTGTATGTTTCAATGTAAATGTTCAGATTTTGTTAATATTATGGTGAATGTTAACATGTCAATGTGAATATTCACATTGTTAACGGGCCGGGCCGGGCCCGCCCCAGGCCGCG